CGCGTGCCTGTAGTCCCAGCTACTGCGGAGGCTGAGGCAGGAGGATTGCTTGAGCCCAGGAGTTGGAGGTGCTGTGAGCTAGGCTGACGCCACGGCACTCACTCTGCCTGGGCAACAGAGTGATACTCTGTCTCAAAAAATATATTATAAACAAAGTGTTCAGTGCAAACAAGAGGGATTTGAGCAAAGCCCTGCTCGGAAGTTTCCGCGGTCGCATGGGAATGGGGAGGTGGAGACGGTGGTTTCTGCAGCCGGTGTACAGGCTTGATCGCCAGGAGACGGCTTCTTGTCGAAAACTGATGGTCGAGCCCCTGAGCCCCGGGAGATGAGGATTTGCCTTCCCCGACACTAATCCAGCAAACCCTGCTGGAGATGGACGGTCCCGCAGAGTAGGGGTCTGTGAGATGGAGGCCGTGGCTGCAGCAGGATTATTTCTCCTGGGCCGGCTGGGCTCCGGCGGGGACACGGAGCAGATTGTAAATCTTAAGACTTCAGTTCAGCGGGAAACCTCTAAAGCCGATGCATGCGGAGTTCTCCAGAGCGAGCGGTACAGAGCCTGGCTTTTTTTAGAGGGAATCCGACTGCAGAGGGCAGGTGCTGATGGCCCCCTGCACACCTGTGCCGGATGATCCACCGTGGGCAGGAACGCCGCGGCGGGGCCGGCCCAGGCACCCTCAGGTGCAGTGGCCGCTGCCTGGAGCCTGGCCTGGCCAGAGCTCCAGCCTCTTGCTTCTCAGGGCAGTCCCTCATCTCGATAGCACAGCTGTGCATGGCGCCCAGAGAGGGGGACACTTCTGTGTGGACGGATGCAGATGGGTGGGTGGAGGAGTGGATGGGCGTGCGATGTGGTGGTGGATGGATGGGTGGGGGTGGTGATGGTGGGTGGGTGGATGGATGGTTGGTGAGTGGATGGTGTGGGTGGATGGTGGGGGTGATGATGGTGGTGGGGGTGGATGATGGAATGGTGGTGGGTGGAGGATGTGGGGTGTGGATGGTGGTGGTGGATGGACATGGGTGGTGGGTGGATGATGGTGGATGGTGGGTGGATGGATGGATGGGTGGGGGTGGATGGATGGTGAGTGGATGTGGGTGGGTGATGGATGGGTGGTGAGTGGATGGGTGTGGGTGATGTGGGTGGTGGATTGGATGGGTGGAGTGGGAATGGATGATGTGGGTGACTGGTAAGTGGAATGGATGGTGGTGGATGGATGGTGGTGGATGGATGGATGGTGGGTGGTGGGTGGTGGACGGATGGGGGTGGGTGGGATGGATGGATGGGTTGGGTGGGTGGATATGGTGTGTGGGTGGGTGGGTGATGGTGGATGATGGATGGGTGGTGGGTGGATGGAGTGTGGATGATGGATGGATGGTGGGTGAGGGGTGATGGATGGATGGATGGTGGGTGGGTGATGGTGGATAGATGGATGGATGTGGGTGGGTGGGTGGATGACGGATGGTGGTGATGGGTGGACGGGTGGTGAGGAGTGGTGGGTGGTGGATGGGTTGTTGTGGATGGGTGTGTGGATGGGTTGATGGGTGGATGGTGGTAGATGGTGGGTGGGTGGATGTTGAGATGGTGGGTGGGTAGATGGTGGGTCCCTGGGATGTAACGAGCCGCCCCCGACAGTGCCTGGTCCTGGGTGGCTGTGTGGGTTGCCGCCCTGCCGGGCGCGGGTGGGTGGATGGATGGATGGATGGTGGGTGGGTGGATGGTGGATAGATGGATGGATGGTGGGTGGGTGGGTGGATGGACGGATGGTGGGTGGATGGGTGGACGGGTGGGTGGAGGAGTGGGTGGGTGGTGGTGGATGGGTGTTGGTTGGATGGGTGTGTGGATGGGTTGATGGGTGGATGGTGGGTAGATGGTGGGTGGGTGGATGTGTGGATGGATGGTGGGTGGGTAGATGGTGGGTCCCTGGGATGTAACGAGCCGCCCCCCGACAGTGCCTGGTCCTGGGTGGCTGTGTGGGTTGCCGCCCTGCCCGGGCGGCGGGTTCAAGCAGTGGGACTGTGGAGATACCATGAGGTGCCGCTTCATCCTCAGGTCTTGGGCAGAGTGCAGTTGGGGCTCCCGGCCGTGCCGCCACCATCCCCCCAGAGGCCGAGGCGGGCAGAAACTGGTCCCAGCGCGGGGCCCACAGTCAAGGCACCCACCCGCTGGGCCGCAGCGCCAGGGCCGGGCTGCAGGGAGCAGCGTGCCCCAGCCTCACCCCTCCCCCGGCGCCGTCCCCACGGGCGGTTATTGAGGAATCCGGGAGGACCAAGCCTCACTGCAAAGCAGAAGATGCTGCCGCTTGGTGTTCCTCCTCTCAGCAACCAGCAAGGGCGCCGGGGAGTCCGAGGGGTGGGGCTGGGGCCGGGCGGGGTCCCCTGCCCCCCGAGGTTCCTTCCCCCAGCGGCGCCAGGAGGCCACGCCTGCCCTCGCTGCACCTGCCGTCTGTTTGGGTGGCAGTTTACCAAGTCGAAGCAGATAATGAGCAGTTAAGACACAGCGTGGGCGTGACGGGAGCGTGTGACTCCCCGCGGTGACACCTCAGCAGCCCCCGGGTGAAGCAGCAGCCTCGGGGCTCAGCACACTGGGTGGGGTGCCCTGCCCCACTCAACCTGCTGTGTGAGCTTGGGTAGGTCACCTGGCCCGTCTGTGCCTATGGTATTATTTTTATCTGCAGTGAGGACAGGTCAGTCCCCACCTGCCCTGACAGAGGGTTGCCGGGTTCCTTTTCATCCAGCTGCCACCCCTGCCCACCGGTCCAGCTTCACTGGTGAGGAGTATGACAGAAAACCTCCTTAACTGAGGCTAAGGGGCGGAGATTCGTGTGTCCCGTGAAGCACAGAGCTGATGGGGCCCCTCCACGGCACCCGTGGGAACTCGGGCTCTTTCTGACTTTCCCTCTGCCGTCCTCACTGTGCAGGCTTTGACATACATGGCTTTCACCTCATGGTCACAGGATGGCTGCCACGCCTCCAGACCTCACACCCACATTCCTAACAGAAGGAATGGAAAGGGGGCGAAAGGCTCTGCCAGCTGTGTCTGCTCTTTTTGCAAAATCGGGATAAGCCACGGCTTTCTTGAAAGCCCCATTCTGAGACTTCTGCTTACAGCTCACTGGCCAGAACTATACCCCATGGCTTGTCCCCCAGCGGCTGTCCTGGGCTTGTTCCTGCACTGGTGACTGGCACGACCGTGACTGTGGGGTGGGGCGATGGCGTCCCCCTCCCGATCACCAAAGGGTGACCCCAGGCCTGCCCTGTCAACCTCCATTACTCTGGGTGGGAAGGACGGCGCCAGGCTCCGGGGTCCCTCACCTGATCTTCCTCGGGCTGCCCCGAGGGGAGGGCCCAGGACGTCACCCCGGAGACCCCCGAGAGCTGGACCACGTGCGTTGGCTCCCACGGGAGGGTTTCACTCTGCGCCTGGTCCTCAGACACTGGGCGTCGGTCCCCTCGGGCCCACGGAGCGGAGAAGTTGTTGCCGATATTTGTATGACATTTATGGAGGGTTAAGCTCTTTCCCGTTAAGCTGCGACCGAGAGCCGCTCAGCCCTCCCCGTTGCGTGAGGCTGTTTCCAGGGAACAGGCGGGCGCGGTTCTGCCGTCAGATCACGTGTGGGTCCCTGGTGTCGAAGCACATGAAACATTTCAAGGTCATTGACTCCAGCTGGGCAGAGAACCGCCTGGATGCAGGGACGCCACTTAGAGTGCGCCTGGGATTGGGGGCAGAGGGAGGGTCCTTCCTTCCCGTCGTTCAGGGAGTCGGAACAGACGCTGCCCAGCGCGGGGATGATCCCAGGCGGCTTCCGGGACCAGCCTCCTCCCCCATTCCTGGGGCTGGTGCCACTGGCGTGCGTTTGGTGGCCGGCTGGAGACACCGAGGCAGGAACCGCCCACACCCAGGGCGGAGCCAGCAGGGCAGGGTTGGCAAGCCAACCACGGGCGCCGTGGCTTACACCTGTCATCCTAGCACTCCGGGAGGCCGAGGAGGGCAGATTGCTCAAGGTCAGGAGTTCGAGACCAGTCTGAGCAAGAGCGAGACCCCGTCTCTACTAAAAATAGAAAGAAATTACCCATACTACTAAAAATATATAGAAAAAAATTAGCCAGGCATGGTGGCGCATGCCTGTAGTCCCAGCTACTCGGGAGGCTGAGGCAGGAGGATCGCTTGAGCCCAGGAGTCTGAGGTTGCTGTGAGCTAGGCTGACGCCACGGCACTCACTCTAGCCTGGGCAACAGAGCAAGACTCTGTCTCAAAAAAGAAAACAAAGGTGTTGGGTGAGTGGACTCAAACCCGCAGCCACGCCACATGCAAGAGAAGTCACGTTCAGTCTGAAGAGCCCAGAGCGGAGGCTGCCGTGCCGGGCTGTGGTGGGCACAAGCCGCCTCCCCGGCAACCAGCCCGCGGTGGCCAAGCGCCGGCCCCAGGCTGCAGGGGGGCAGGTGCCCGTGGGGGGGGCGGGAGGGGGTTTCACTGGGGTCCCCCGGGGTCCCCGCGTCGGGAGGGCGGGGCGGGGTGCCCGGATGCCGGCCAGCCCCGCGCTGCCCCGCAGGTGTGGCAGTGCGGCGGCAGCATGGAGGTGCTGCCCTGCTCCCGCGTGGCGCACATCGAGCGCACCAGGAAGCCCTACAACAGCGACATCGACTACTACGCCAAGCGCAATGCGCTGCGGGCGGCCGAGGTCTGGATGGACGACTTCAAGTCCCACGTGTACATGGCCTGGAACATCCCCATGACCGTAAGCCGGGCGCCGAGCGGGGAGGGGGTGGGGCGCGGGCGCCTGTGCCCCGGTGTGGGAGTCGGAGCCGGGGCCGCCAGGGCCAGGCTGGCGTGGAGGCCGCCCGCAGGCAGGGCCCCGCCAGGAAAGGCTCCCTCATGCTGGCCCGGCCGGCGCACTCACGCCCGGCCCTTTGTGGGTGAGATGTTTCCTGAGCCTGGAGTGGGCGTACTGCGTTTCCCCAAAAATAAGACAAGGTCTTCTCTTTATCTTTCCTCAAGAAGACACCCTAGGGCTTATTTCCAGGGGATGTGTTATTTTTTTTAAGTATGGTCCAACCATCTCCATTGATTCAAATACAGCGAAGTCGTCTTCTCCTGGAACATCATCATCACTCTCCAAACCCCGAATTCCATCCTGAATGTCTTGTGACTCTGTTTCCTTTAGAACCGTCGGCCCCGATCTCTCCTGTCGAGCACTAGAGCTCTCACGGGGCGGATGAGAAGGGCTGGTCGTTTTTCCCGCTCCTCGACGACACGCACGGGTTGTGCAGAAACGCTGCATAGCCACGCCCGTCACTAGGGCTTATTTTCGGGGTGGGGCTCATATTGCACAAATGCTTAGAAGCCCTGCCAGGGCTTATTTTCGGGGAACACGGTAGCTGCCATGGTGAGGAGCCAGTGAGGGCCATGCCCGGTGCCGGCCTCATTGCACCATCAGGCCGTAGCCAGCCTGGGCGTAGGCCCCACTCAAGCCGTGGGCAGGTGCCGACAGCAAGGCCACACCAGCCCCCGCACCCCTGCTCGGAGCCTCAGCTCTCTGCTCTCCGGGTGCACAGGCCCGTGCTCATGAGGCCCCCGGGGCAGGGGCCGCAGTCTGCAGCACTGGCTCTCAAAGCGGGGCCCCTGGCCAGCACCGTCAGCGCCACCGTGGACAAGGGGCGGGGGAATGCAGATTCTGGGCCCCGCTGGCTCCTGCTGGGTCAGGACCTTGGGGTGGGCCTGGCCACCTGTGCCCTTTCTTGGCTTCCGGCTCGTTAGCCTTTGGGAACCGCAGTCCGCAGCGGATCTGTTCCCTTCAGTCGGCATCTGGGGAGAGTCCTTCAGCTGGACTCAGACTGTCAGGGCTCCAGCCTGGGGCGTGGCTCGTGCACGTGGGTGGCCTCTGTCTCCAGCCCCCCAGAGGCCAAGCTGGTGCCGCATGGCCCAAGGCCCCCATGGGTCTCACCGCAGCATGGACTCTCCGGGGTGGCCCCAGGCCAGGGGGACGGGGACAGTCTCAGGTTCCAGGGCCCCAGCAGGGACCTCCCGTCCAGGCTGCGGCTCGTCCCAGCTGGGGAGGAGCTGGGCAGGGAGGAGGACCCCCGCCCCCCAGATCCCTGAAGATGGGGCCGTCCTGGGCGGAGGCGGGGAGGGGGGCCACTGGGAGCTCAGGGACCGGAGTCCTGGGCATGGGACGCTCATGTGTCCCTCTGCCTGCTCTGGCCTTGCAGAACCCGGGCGTGGACTTTGGGGACGTGTCTGAGAGGCTGGCCCTGCGCCAGAGGCTGAAGTGCCGCAGCTTCCAGTGGTACCTGGAGAACGTGTACCCCGAGATGAGGGTCTACAACGACACCCTCACGTACGGAGAGGTACCGCCTTGCCCAGGGGCCCCACCCGGGTGGGGGGGCTTTCCACCCTGTGCACTCCCACGCCCTCAGCTGTGC